CTCCACTTCAAGTTATCTCAGCGTGCTATTACTTATCTTAGTCAATATAGACTAAATGAATTGTTGCAATATCTAGTGCATGTAACCTCTTACTGTTAAAACAGCACACCATCTTGTAAGTAGCATTTTAGAGATTTGCTTAAATTTCATTGCCCTGTGGTGAGAGAATTGACCAATAAAAATCTATTTTATAGTTGTCTTAAAGTGCACCAGCTAAACTGCTCGATCAAGATTAAGAGCCTGGAACAGCAGCAGTCCAAACTTGCTTTGTGCGCCTCAGATGAGGACTCCTGTAACTTTTCAACTTTCCTAAAAAAGACAACCACATATTGCTGGTCAGACTTTCCTGAGCTGAATGTCAGTGGCGTGCACCCAACCAGTTCCCCATGTGGGGTACTTTCAAGGTCTCCAATCTATAGTTATTCGTAGCTCTTTGCCTACCTATGTCAGTTACAGCAACAGCCCAAGAAAATGATGACATTAGATTGACAGGGATAGTCAAATTCATGAGGGTTGGAAGGAACAAATAGGCCCAGAGGTAAGGTAATTTGCAAAATGAGCAATAGAGACATGAGAAGAAACTTTCTCATGGAGCGAATGGGTAACATCTGGAATATGCTACCTGAGAGCGTAGTGGGGCATGTTCAATCTAGGCATTCATGAGGAAGTTGGATTATCTGAAAAGGACGAATTTGCATAGTTACAGGGAGAATATGGGGGAAAGGCACTAAGTGAGTTGCCCATTAAGAAAGCTGGTCTAGACATAACAGGCCGAATGGCCTCCTTTCAAACTGTAACCATCAGGATGTTCAATGAATGACGAACAGAATGACCAGGTTTGGTTTTCACTCTATTTCACCTGCCCTTTGCAATCTGTGTATGTTGACTTCATAGAAGGTGAAGGTAACTTGCATTTACACAGTTTCTTTCATGACTTTGAGGCACTTTTGAAATGTAGTCACAGTTGCAATTTATGGAAATGCTGCAGTCAGTTTTTTCACAGCAAGGCCCCATCAACAGCATGAGATAAATGAGCTCTCAGTACTCCTGCATATTGAACATCAAGAATGTAATCTGGGTGTTAGACTTCAAATGCCATCACCTTGAGTGGTTTGGCAACACCACTATTGACCAAGCTGATCGAGTCCAAAAGGATGTAGCTGGTAGGTTGGGTCTGGAGCATTTGGTGGAGGAACCAACAAGAGGGGAAAAGATACATGACCTAATCTTCATGTCTGTGCCTGCTGCAGATGTATCTGTCTATGACAGCATCAGTAGGAGTGTTCACTGCATGTCGTTGTGGAGGTGAAGTCCCATTTTCACATTGAAGAACCCTTCATCATACTGTGGTAAAAACTAGTTCAGAAGTTTAGTAAAATGATTAATCTGATAGATACTCCTCATTGCTGGAAGAAAAATCATTTATGTTGCATGAACATGTAGAAGCAATATGTTTGCAGGGAAGATGATAAGAAAGAGTACCACTGTTGGGTGGTGAGATTAGTGGGTGATAATGGGGATAGTAAGAGTGAAGTAGATGGAGACAATTCACCAATGCTGTAATTAGCCAATGCTGTACAGTTGGATAGCATGTTTCCATATTTGGAGGAAGGACAATGCGAAGATCTCATAAAATTACTTGGGAGAATGAAGTTCATCTGTAGAGATATACCTGGATGTACTGTTTAAGCTAGACATGATGCGCACTTGGTAGAATCAGTGACAATTAAACAACATTCTTATCAAACAAATGCTGAAAAGTGAGTTTAGTTGGAAATGGAGATTCAATGCATGCTAGAAGATCACCTGATTGATTATAGCCAAAGCTGTTGGAGTTCACCAGTAGTGTTAGTTCTGAAAACTGGATGGGTCAACTATATTCTGCATAGGTCACTCACAGGTGAATACGGTAACAAAAACAATTTCCTACCCAATTCCATGGTTAGACGATTGTGTCAACAGGTTTGGCAATACCTTATTTTTTCTAAGATTGATCTGTTGAAGGGGTACGAGCAAATACCATGAACATCAAAAGCTAAAGAATGATCCACCTTTGTATCACCCAATCAGTGTAACTATGTTCAGTGAAATCAGTTAGGTTTAAAAATGCCCCAGCTGAAATCCAAAGATTTAATGAATCAAATCCTTGTTAAAGTACCAAGCTCTAATTTATTTACAGAATGTTATAATATACGGTAACACATGGGAACAACATGTAAAGTAACTAGAAGACTTACAGTCGGCTGACTTAGTTATCAATCTTACGAAGGCTGAACTTAACCAAAGTGCGAGTAACCCACCTTTTAAACATTGTTGGATAAGGGCAGGTGTTGCCAAGCATAGCAAAAGCGAAGGCTCTAGTCGAAATTCTCTTTTGAAATTAAAACAGATATCGTGAGATTTTTGGATATGTGTGGGTTCTTCTAGAAATTTGTGCCTAATGTCAGCAAAATAGATGTACCTTTGACAAATTTAGTCCAGAAACAGGCAAAGGTGGTATGGTCAGCAGAGTACCAAGCAAACTTTGAGAAGCTGAAGGCATTTCTAATAAATAAGCAATTGTTGGCCACTCCTGACTAATGAAACCTTTTAAAATGGCAATTGATGCTCGTGTAGTCTTTTTGCAAGATGATGAATTGGGATTAGAGAAGGCAGTGATCTAATTTTGTGAGGAATTAAATCAATGTCAGAAAAAGTTGGAAAGAAGACTGGGGATTATTTTTAACTCTTTAACGTTTTGAAGTCTATGTCTGATGAGTTTGGAAAGAAACATTAATATATACTGATTATGATCTGTAAAACCTTTGTTGAAAACTTCAAAACTTGAAATGCAAGATGGATTTTGCACATTACTTGAAGAGATAATACGATATCAGATATATTGCCCTGAATGTGAAAATGATTGAATAAGTTAAGAATTGAAGAGAAAGCTATCAATAAATTGATAAATACGGTTTAGGAGATGAATGAGGATGAATGGATGTACATTTTGGTGTTTTGTTGTCTATGTGCCACAACATTGCAATGAAACATATTTAAAAATGATGCTTTGTTTCATTTAAGGGTGGAGGTATACGAAAGACCACATCATTATTTTTTGACTATGGACTGAAAATTAGACAAATGGGTGCTGCTTTAAAGAAGAAAGAAAGTTGCAAGAGTTGTATGCAACTTTGGGAAAATAAGTGAAGCTAACTGGTGCATATGAAGCCATGTTACTTTTTGGGGATGTTGAATCCAAACTAAGTGGCAGTTTTTTGTACATGACGAGGGTTCACTGGACTTAAAATGTTAACTCTTTCACAGACAACACTTTCTGTTTTTCTGAAAGACTGTATAGGCTGGGGTTGTTTTCTTTAGAGTTTGAGGGGGGTGTCGTGAAGCATACGAGATTACGAGGGACATAAATAGGGTGGATAGGAAGGCACTTTTTCCATTAGTGGAGGGACCAATAACTAGGGAGCAAACGTTTAAGCTAAGTGTAGAAGGCTTAGAGGAGAGTTGAGAAATTTTTAACTCTGAGGTGGTAGGAGTCTGGAACTTGCTGACCGAAAAGGTAGTTAGATTGAAAATTCTCAATGTTTCAACAGTATTTAGATATTCACTTGTAATACTATAGCCTTCAGGGTAATGGGCTAACAGCTGAAAATGGAATCTCTTCAGTCAGATATTTTTTGACTGCATGGACATTATGACCCTAATGGCCTTCCTCTCTGTTCTAAGCATCACTGAGTCTACCCAAAGATCCTGGGTCCAGCCAGGCAACCAGTGAATTACAGAATGATTGTCTCTGTTCAGATGACATCAAGCGATCGTTGAAGAATTGTGGATTGTGAAACCCATCTAGTTGTGTGATTTTTGGATTGGTTATGTAGAACTGTGTTCTGGCTGTTTTTGTTCTCCCTACTCATAATGTGTTCTTTCCTTTTCATGTCTGAGTGGAGGAATTATAAGAGATCAAGTTGAACTAACATAAGTTTAAAATCATGTTCTTTCACACTTCTTAATATTGAGAGTGTTAGAATAAATAGAGTTTTTTTTATTGATAATGAAGGAACGTGATGTGGTTTGTTTTTAAAAACAAATACAGAAATTCAGTCCCAAAGAAGGGTCACTGGTCCCCAAAATGTTAACTCTGCTTTCTCTCCATAGATGCTGTGAGACCTGCTGAGTTTTTCTAGCAAGTTCTGTTTTTGTTTCTGATTTCTAGCATCAGCAGTTCTTTGGTTTTTTTTGTGTTGTGTGGTTTGTTTTCATCCTGGGTAGCAGTCAGTCAGGATAATTGAGATTTTTGGTTTCATTAAATCTTTACATTTGTTATGAGTCCATGAATAATGAGACTTGATTACCAGCACACTATGTCATTGAGTCATGACAACAGAAGCTTATGATGTGTGAGATAGGAAGATATATACAGGCTCAGTCACTTGCACTAACAGGATTTGGATCCAGCCAGAACTGATGGTATTCGAGGTCCTAAATGAAATGAGTTTTGGTCCTTAGCTTCCTATGGTTATCAACTTACACCCAGAATCCCAATATCCTATAAAAGCTACATGGATGGTGAATTTGAGTTACTGGAGGTACTTTGGTATAGTAAGGAATTTTTTTTTTGAAATTAGAATTATGGCGCATTGTTAGAGCAGAATAAAGGCAACTTTGCCCTAGAAAGCTTCATCTGATTAGGCTATTAAAAATTTTTTGACCATTGTGAGAATTGCTCCATTCCTCAGCAATGCCAATACTGGTCCAGAAATTCACAGATTAATCCAAATGATCAAAAAAATTAGGACATGAATAATTCATATCAATCTCTGTATTAAATTGCCAAGTACTGAAAGACAATTGGAAAATAACTCCTAGGTATAACTAACCATAGCAGCCGTTACAACTCCCGTGAAAATGGGCATGGAAGTTTGTGGAAAATGCTTAAAAGAGAAAGAAGAATAGGTTTCAAACTTGTAACATTCTTTCATGGTTTGTTTCATGTTCTTTTTCAGGCTGTTTACTTTCACACCTCCCTAAACTGTACCCACATTGCGATCGTTGTGGAAATAGTCGCAATTGCGAAGAAGCGTGTAGATAATGAACAAGTCCTGTCATGTGGGTTTGGAATTCTGCACTTGTGCAGCACACAGAAATTTACACCAGATACTGCTAAAGGTCAAAATATTAAAAGGTCAGTACTTTGGATTGCTGCCTTTAATATGACAATAATTACATTAGAACTACAGCGAAGCATGATCGTGCAAATGACAAACACTGAGAAATCTGGACACTTATTGACATTTCCAAGTATTGAAATTTAATAAAAGATAAATAAGGCACTCTGTAATGACAGACATGTATAAATTATGGACAACATGCATGTCCCAAGCTTTATCTATTTTATGGGTTTTACACTTTGAAGTATGGATCTCTGATGAAGGCACTGACATATGGATCTGGCAATTTTCTCTGGCACGAATCTATACGAAGGTACTGTCACTGGTCATTTCTGTTTCAGTTATCCTCGATAGTAATGACAGAACATGCCACACTATCTTGTATTGGGCAACAAGCTTGGACAGATTTGGCATCAGACTGTGGTGACAGGGTGTCCTTCCATCAGATTACATAACTCATCTGAGGTACCTGTTTTGTTCTACTGTTATTGCTTCATCGTTGGTCTTAATTGTTTCCACCACTTGTTGCTTTCCCCCTTTGTGGGAGTTCCAGTGGTGTGACTCCTTTCATTCTGAAGGCCAGCACTTTATTGATTTGGATGTCCACACTGAATTCCAAGCATTGCCTGGCACACCCCATCTGCCTTCTCTGTAAGGTCTCTGACAGTTCAGATCTTTGACTAGAATGGACAGACATGACTGTTGATTTTCAAATCCACCCATCAAGCATGCATCTGGTATGCACTGTCCTTTGTGGGTTGTCCTGACAGATTGCCTGACAACTGAGTGTTTGACAGGTTAAGCTGTTGTCCATAAATTACGAATGTTTAAAAATTCTCAAATGCAGTGATTATAACTTTGAAGTTCAAGATTGCCAGTCCTAGTGATGAACAGTTATTTGGCATAGTGAAGGAACGGCCACCATTTGGAAAACTGCACAAATCAAGAATTTGCTATGTGTAGCCTTGGTGCATTGGTTAAATCCCTCATTCACGAGTTGGCATTTAGAAAAATTACTTTTTCTTTGTTTCTACTGAGAGAAAAAAATGAAGAAAACAATTAATTCCTAAATGACAAGTATTGCACTTTTGAATAAGTGACCTTTTTAGTTGGAAAAAATGAGCAACTCTTGTTTCATCTAGCTTTTAAACTAAAGCATCAAAATCAAAACATTTTTGGAAGAACTTTGGCTTTTATGGTTTTCTGATTATTTCCTTTTCAGCTCCAAATAATATTAATCTACAGCTTAAGTTGCAAGCACATGTCCCACACCATTTTCAATGTAATTGATTATTTTTACAAAGAACTATTTTTAAAGTACCAACTTGGTTTTGAAAGTGGAGGACAGAATAGGCATGAACAATTTTTGTTTCAGTGTTCTTAAAATATGAAATGCACATTTCTAAATTTCAGAAATCAGTTTTCATTGTGAAACCTAAACTGACATTGAATTATTTGAACTGTTAGGAAAGCAATTTTTTTTAGGTAAGCTTTTATAGACAATGAAAAACACATTATGAATTGTACAGGTCTGTAAATTGTACCCACTTCTGGGATTGGAAATGAAGAACAGGAAGGGTGTTGCTTCCATTCCAAATAAAGAGAGCAGGCCAAATAGCAATTTTTGTTTTTGTACAACCCTCATCAAGTAACCAAACCTTTGACAGAGGGAATAGCGACGTAAGGCAGTAAATGGAGAATTTGCAGAGGTGACTGAAGGCATGGTTGAAGAAGAGCCATTTGGAAGTGAGGTCCAGTGTCACAAGAAGGTGGTGTTTGGGGAGGGAATTCCATTGCACAGAGTCAAGATGTTTGAAAGATATGATTGATAAGTCATTTCAATGGTCTTTCCTGGTCAAGACCTTAATGTTAGAGGCTTGTAGCAGTCTTCTTTCCCACTAAAATGCTGGTATATTTTTATTTGACAAGAGAAATAGTGAACCTTTTCATGACTATGTAGGCTACAGTGGCTAAGCATGAAGAGACAATTTAAGGGAGATTTAAATATGTAATACATAAGAAGCAAAGTACCACATATGGTGGAAAATGAAAATCAAATCCCTGAGCTACTGATGCTTTACCATTTTAATTCTGTACTCCATTCCTACTTTAAACTCTCTTGACTTTCTATATCGTTCATTGAGATTCAATGTAACCTTGATAAATAGCAACTCATTCTTCAATTAGGAACTTATGGTCTTCTGGACTCTGCACAGGTCATAACCTCCATACCCATTTAGTTGGACCACAGCTCCATGTAATGGTTCTGCTTTGCCCATTCACATTTCCTCTAGATCCATCTCCTGTTTCTTTACTTGTCCCTTTACCATGTCCTTTTGTTTTCTAATATTGCCTCTTTTGTCATTCGATCTCTTCTGCCTTCCACTCAATTACAGGCCTTTTGCTGCTATCTCCTTTCTGGCCTCTGTATTTACTAAAAGCCTGTTAAATATTTATTTTTTTTCTCAGTTACAATCAAACTCGAACATTAAATCTATTTCTTCATAAATTCTACTAGTTCTGCTGAGTAATTGCAGAACTTTTCATTCATATGTTGTATATAATATTTTCTGTATTCTTGATTTTTAAAATCCAGGGTGTTGTTTTCGCAATGCTTAACAAGAAAATTGATCTTTTACACCAGCTGGTGTCCCTTCTCTCCCTCACCTCCAGCGATCTTTACACAATCTGTCACTGTACCAGAAGGCGATTATGGAGGCTGATCTGTCCAACCACCTTGTGCAATTAAAACAAAACCTTTTAGAGTCAAATTGTATTTGACAGCTCTTTGAAGGTGTGATCAAATTATTATTTAATCCCCCTAATCGTGTCTGATAAAGCTGGCCCAGCTGTCTAAAGTACAGCTACCTGGAGACACAGCTGAATGCCCAGATCCTGGCCTCTAGCCTGGTACTTGCTGTTAATGCAGCCTTTTTGGCTCCAGAGTGAGAATGAAGTAGGCTGTAGAAGAATTCTGCACTGATTTGGTAAATGGTGGCTCTCCACACGTACTGACAGTGCAGTTTTTCAGATCACTTGCAGACACTGCAGCACATTGTGCCTGTAATTGTTGATGGCTACAAAGTAAAACAACATCATCCTTAAACACCTTTCATGTTTAAAATATCATACTTTCACACCTGAAACCCTCATTCATGCTTTTGGTATCTCTAGACCTGTTATTGTAATGCGCTCCCTGCTGAACTGGCATCTACTAGCTGAATAACTTATATGCATTCCAAAACTGTCAGCAATTCTTGTTCTCTCATCATTCTTTTGTCTACAGACCTACACTCTGCTCCTATGATGCTGCTTGGCCTGCTGTGTTCATCCAGCCCTGCACCTTGTTGTCTGGTTTCTGTTCTGACTGTTTAAAGTCATTGTCTTTTCTTTCTTTTTACGTTCCTCCATGGCCTTGCCCCTTCATGTCTCCTCCAGCTTTCCAAATCTCTGCATTCTTCCAATTCTCTCACCTTGTGCCTTCCTGATTTTAATCTCTCTGCTGTCGACAGCCACGCTTTTAGCTTCTTGGGTTCTAAGCTCTGGAATTTCTCCCCAAGTTTTTCCTGCCTCTCTGCCCATTTGTTCTCCTTTAACAGGCTCCTTAAACCACATCATTGGTTACCTGTGCTGATATTACCCTTGGTGGCTCAATGTCAAAATTTGTGGAGAATTGTGAGGCGTAAAGAGACCATGTAGTGTAGGTTGTTGTTGATGAACTCCTATGTTGTGCACATAAACATGCATAAAGTTGACAAATATTGGTCGAAAAAGGTCACTTCATTGATATTTTTTTTTTGGTGTTTGCACCAGAATTGTTTTTCATGTTTTTACAGTAATTTCAATCCACAGTGACTTCTAATAGAGTGTAACTTTGGTTTGCATCTGTTTAATTAGATTTTATGCGCTCGACATGTGAAAAGAAGAAACTTGCAATAATCTAATGCCTTTCTTGACCTTGATACGAAGTCCTTTGTAACTAATGAGATACTTTTGAAGTGGAGTCATAAAAGGTCAAAGTGATAGTTTGTTCGTAGAAAGATTTTGTGAACAGCAACAAGTTAAATGCTCAAGTCATTTGTTTTGATATTGCTATCTCCTCAAGGTGAAGAGCATCGTCTTGTAAAACAGTTCATAGAGAGCAGACGTGAATTTAATTGCAATTAGTTTACAACCTGGAAATTATATCAACTGGGAAAAGGGAAAAGTATTTGCGTTTTAATTAACATTGATTATAGTAATTTTGGGAATAAAGTTTGGGTGTCTGATCATAAAGATACTCAATAATTTTATAAAACAAATTCAGACACCGAAGACTGGGTGATCGAAGTGACACGAAGTGATGTGAGCCATTCAGTCAGCCACAGCCCAGCTACTAGCACTCACACCTCTGACTTAGAGGTTTGTGTGTTCATGTCCCACTCTTGAAACTTGAGCAGAAAGATCTAGATTGAGATATCGATGCAGCACTGAGGGGCTACTTATCTGCTTCAGCAGCCATCTTCTAGGTAAGATGTTAAACTGAGGCTCCGTCTGTGCCCTTAATTTGATGTAAACGATTCTGTGGCACTATTTTAGTGAAGAACAGATTCCTCCCCAGTGGCTTGGTCAAAATTTATCCCTCAATAAACAACCCTGATAAAATAGCAGATTTTCACATTGTCGCTTGTGGGATCTAGCTGTGTGTATGTTGGCTGCTGTGTTTACTGCACTGTTGCAGAGATTACACTTCAGAAGCAGTGTGTGGAGAAGGAACTTTGGCACATTCTGAGGTTGTGAAAGTTGCTAGTCTTTCTTTCTTAACAGGGCTTTCAGCTCTTTTTGGTAGCAAGTCCAGCCACAGTGCATTGGTGGCAGTGATGGGATCCATCAGCTACTTTTTGATGATTGATAAGTCCTCCCCTCCAAAAACTGTTAGCCAATCAGAGTCTGACAGCGTCTAGGTCCTAGAGATTGTTGCAGGAGGGCTCAGGCACGGGGATTTACAGTGAGAAGGGTATCATAGGTAGACACC